CCGGATTTTCCTTCTCTCTTCGCAAAACATTTCATTTGTCACGTTTAAATAAACTTCGTCTTTTCTCGTCGGAATGTTTCCGTGGGAAAACACAATTTCAGCTGTTGACACAAGACGGCAAACGTTTTATCCACCCACTAATCTTCTCAAACACCAAGTGCGTCCGGAACGAAAACGTCACGTGTTCCTGACCGACATATTTCGTGTGTAGCATGGAAAGTGTTGGCGTTGTCAGTCTCGGATATTTTTTTTTTTTTACAAAAGCAGCGCCATTATATATGCGTTCTACGCGCTACGTTCTGTCGGCATAGGCATTTTTGCTAGACAAAGCGTCACTGGGGAGGGAGAACTTTCCGTCTCGCCCTACAAGTCGTCACTCCTCTGCCCGTGAGACGTGCGAAAGGCCTGACCAGCCAGCAGGATAAAATAAACTTGTTACACGTTCCGTCCGTCGTGTTCTCCTGGGCACTAGGCAGCCCGCAAAACCCGAGGTCAGTGTTTGAACGCATTTTTGCAACAACGACCTTGAACACCATTTCCCTCGCGTGCCCTGATGATGTCACGACCCGTGATGTGGCGTACTCCAGAGAGTACATGTAACTAGTCGTGACATCTATTTACGATTTTTCTGTGTCCTTCGGTCGGCCAAGGACGATAAATTGAACTTTGTCAAGGAATGGGGGTAGGAGATCGAGAGACGGGGATTGATAACATTAAGACGAATCTTAGGGAGATGGTTTGTGTGGTAAAATGGATCAACCTGTCACAATCAAGATACAGAGAAATGCGTGGTTGCATAACAAGCTAGGCGCCCGTCTTGTGCAGTTTCGTACTCTGCCGATATATTTCATGATCCTCGCCTCAACAGGTTCTGTAATTGCCGACGACTGCATGAGCATTAAAACTGCGAATTAAATCTGACTGAGTGGGAGGTGTTAATTAGGCTGTGCGTTTGTCTGTCTTCGTCCCCCCCCCCGCCACATGGCTCCGAAGCTCGCGTAAATTATGATATTTAAGAATTGAGTCCGTACCGCGAAGAAAACACCGCGCTTCACCATTACAAGGATCAACTGGTTAACGCTGTTTAAGAATCTAATCGCTGTTTATTCTGAGAATCGTATGAAATCTATAAATAAAAGTGCGTAGTTACAGATTGTCAACGTATGTGGCACCCGAAGGGGCCTCTGGACTTCAAAAAGTCAAAAGACGCAACCCCCCCCCCTCCACCCAATAAATGTACCAGGCGCAGTTTCACCCGAAAGAACGGAAAATAAAAAAAAACTTTGTGTTTAATCGTTTTTAATTTTTATCACTAAAATAAATTTTGGTACCGGGAACGAAGTCTAAGAGATAATTTTTACGAACACAAGAGACATTTTGAGGTGCGAAAGCTTCGTCTGTACAAACACCGAACAAATTTGCAGCTCGTTTCAAATTATATGCACGCCTTTTTTTTTTTTTGAGTTTTCAGCGATACGAAAAACGCTCTTCGATTGTCTGAATGCGCTCACTCGTTTTCTTTTGTTCACTGATTTCCGTGTTTTGTTATTTTAACAGGCGATGTTGGCAATACTGACAAATTGCATTGACTTGCTTTTACACGTTTCATCAAAGTGTTTACAGTGGTCCGCCCTCATTGAAACCAAGATGACAACTGTAATTGCACTGGGACAATGAAGACCCGTCGCCTCGTTAGTCTCAAACAACCGGGAAGAAGCCTTTAGCTTCGTCACGTGTTCGTTTGTATCGCCCCGGCTACGCGATGCTTGGACGCCGCGGATAAAGAGTTAGCTCTTCGGGAATGCATCCAAGTGCTTGTGCACCAAGATGTTATCAGTTCAGAGGCTAATTAAGCCTTTGACCGGGATGTTCTTTGGTTAAATCTTATGTGGTACCGCCTGATTCGACTTCTAATGGTTAAGTGAAGTGTTTTCTTCGCGGTACGGTCTGGATTCGTAAATATTATGAAGACGAGCTTCGGCTTCGAAGGGTTAACCAGCTGATTTTCGTAATGGTGAGGTGTAGTGTTTTCTTCGCGGTACGGACTGAATTCATAAATAATATTCAGACGATCTTCGGCTTCAAAGGGTTAATATAGTATTTAGATTGTCTTGTCAATCTTGCTGGACGCCTATTGAAGTACTTTCGCCCGTCTGTCTGTACGCATGCGCCAAGTCGAGAACGGCTGAACGGATTTTCATGAAATTTGATGTTTGGGAGTTATATTTGCCGACATATTCTGCTTTGGATTGAAAAATTGCACGCATTTAAGTGGTCGTCTTTTGATTGGCGTTTTGTTCATGTAAACTGTAATCAGTTTTTTAATTAAAACGTGTTTCTTCTGTATGTTTAAGTAGTAATTTCGATTGTGTGATACAACATCTGTTTTAAGAAATTCAAATGATGTGATGTGAAAGGATGCATGAATAATTTTTAAAACACGCCTAAACCTTAATAATTTAGGCACGAAATATCGCACAGTTATTTCGAGATCAATAGTAAAATATCGAAATGCAAGCTAACATGAGGCTTACGCGTTAAATGACTCAACAGACCGATGATTTGTGTAGACTCGTCAGGTCAGAAATCGAAATAAGTACAAGACTGAAGGGATGAGAGACGTAGGCAAACAGCTCCGGACTCTACGTGGTATGTCTGGTGTCAGTAGCGAAATTTAGACCAGGTTCATTTCAGTCACTCTTTCTTTGAATGTAATGTCATTTACAGAGGTCATAGCGCCTCAGCCTAGTGGCACCCGAGATCGTGAGTCCCATTTCGAGACTAAAATTTGGAGCTCAGATATCAGCATCCCAAGACATGCCCCTGAATCTGTTATCCCGACTGAACTATCGTGGTTTTACTGGGGTAGTGCCTTAAATAAGCCAGGGCGAAATGCAGCTGCTCCGCGCTCTGCTCGCACTTACCTTGCGGTGGAGATGATCGCGTCGCGACGCCGTGCAGGTGTTTAGTTACCGGCGTCTCAGTACGCACTTATATCAGATCGCACGGCGACAAGGGGAGCGGCGGGGACTTACGAGCTGCTACCTGTCGTCTGTTGGACGGACGTGGGCTCAGTCCTCCGCCCGTCCTCTCATTCGTTCGTCCATGCGCCCATATCTAGGCTTTCGCAACATCGTTCTAATTCATTATTCATTATGACCGTCTTGTCTGATTCGACATTAACGCAAAGAGCGACAAAGGGTTGTTCCTTAAAGCTTGAAATACTCCGCCGTTCCTCTCATCTGTAACTCCACTCACTCGCCCTCCCACTCGCCCAGAATGCGACCATATTATCTGCAGTCAGTCGACTGACCAACAAGAAATTTGCCATAAGATGACGCCTTGAGTCGGTGGGCGTCCTGTGGCGGCCAGAGTTTCGCTACTCCATCGTCGAAATAATTTCGTTTTCAGCTTAGGCTCGGGCTGTGACTTTTTATTTATCAGTGCGCGGTAAAACATCGCGATTGGCTGAATAGTGTAGGTGGCGATCTGTTTCCCAGAACGGGGCCTAGGCTCATTTTTTAATACATAGAATCGAATTGAATTTGACGTGAAAAGAGCGAAGACAGGTGGAGTCAGGAACTCCAGAGACTGGTTTTATTATGATACCCTAATCTGCAGTTAGAAGTGCAGGGCTGTGTTCCTCTAAGAGGGTAAGGCGAGCACAATTGGCTGGTTATGTGCAAAAACGGAGTAAGTGTAGAAACAAAAGAGAGAAGTGATTATTCAGCTATTGATGAGAGAATGGCGTCTTTGAGAAGCAGTGATCTGCGTGGCGCTTATTAAGAATAACTAACCAACTAGATGGCTTACGGAACCCGTAGGTTCATCACCGAACCAACCAAAGCCCTCCACCGGACCCTGTCCTGGGCCAACGAAATCCAGTCTCCTTCAACTCCTATCTCCCATAGATCCCGCCTGAGATTATCCTCCCATCTACGTCTAGGTCTCCCCAG